TAATTAATTTTTAAATTTCAATATTAACATTTAATAAAATAAATTTTTTAATTTTAAATTAAATTTTAATAAAATAAAATAATTTAAAATTAAAATTTTAATTTTTATTGAGAATTAATATATATTTTTTATATAATAACATTTTTTATTTAAAAATTTATTAATAATATTATATATTTATTTATATAATATCATATCATAAAATAATTACAAACTTATAATTTTTACATGGTAGTGTTACGATAGCCTCGCTACAAAACTGAACTCATAAATCCGTGAAGAGGAATGCTAGCTGCACTCGCCTTTCTCCAGCACTCTCCAACACTCCCTCATCTAAAATAGCCACGTGAATTTTTCTAGTTGGAAACTTTGAATTGCGAGCCAAATTTTGTTACGTGAACATTTTACATGAGAGAGTGTTGGAGAGTGCTGGAGAAAGGCGAGTGCAGCTAGCATTCCTCATCCGTTAATCCATAAATTCATGTTTCGAGGTAATGGAAAACAAGGAACTTTATCAATGAAAATGTCTGTTTTAGGATTCTTAATTACCCTGTTTTTACTCTATTTGCCCAGCTTTACCTCTGAAGCTCAGAACGGACCAACTTACCTCAGCCATTTCTGCTCCAACGCCACCACTTTCACGAGAAACAGCACTTACCAAACCAATCTCGAACACCTTCTCTCTTCCCTCTCTTCCAACTCCTCCGCTGCCGCCAATGGGTTCTATAATACAACCTCCGGAGAAAATCCCAACAGGGTGTACGGTCTCTTCCTCTGCCGCGATGACGTCTCGACCACTATTTGTCGAGATTGTGTCATTTTTGCTACCGGTGACGTGACTCAGCGTTGCCCTGTTGAAAAAGAGGCCGTGATTTGGTACGACAAGTGTCTCCTCCGCTAGTCCAGCAAATTCATTTTCTCCGCCGTGAGTGAAACGCCGAGGGTGGCTTTTTGGGATAATCAGAATGTCACGGATCATGTCCGATTGGGATAATCAGAATGCCACGGATCATGCCCGATTAGACGAGGTCCTGGCTAATTCGTTGAATGAGGCCACGATTCAAGCTGTGTCGTTGGCTAAAAGGTTTAGCACCAACGTGGCTAATGTTTCTCGGTTACAGACCCTGTAGAGCCTGGTCCAGTGCACGCCGGACCTTTCAAGTCCGGATTGCAATAGGTGCATGTCTCCGGGTTGTCAGAGCAAGTCTCTCCGGTTGTTGCAGTGGAAGAGTAAGCGGAAGCGTACTAAATCCTAGTTGTAATGTTAGGTATGCTGTTTACCCGTTCTATAATCTGACTGCAGTTGCAACTCCGGCGCCACCACCACCAGTGGTTACTTCTTCTGGTTCAGTGATCATTCCCAAAGGTAAAGTTGAGCGCATAATTTATTGATTAACTGTTGTTTGCGGTGATGATTGATATGCCTGTATAGATAGTTTTATAAGTTCGCTTGTTCTTGCAACAAATTATGCTGACTAAAAACAAAAAAAAAATCTTTCTACAAATTAAAGTATGTTATCTGGTGTGTTCATTATCCATTAATCAAATTTAGAAAAACTGGGTATTAAATTAATTTTCTTCGGGATCATCCATGACCCTTTTTCTTTTCTTTTCTTTTCTTTTCTTTTTTTTTTTTTCAATGCAGGAAAATGTCAAAAATCATGGCTGATAATTGTTGCCATTGTTGTCTCAGTTAGTGTCACTATTTTGTTTTTCATTGTGGGGTAATGTTTGCTAAGAAGGAGGAGGAAGAAGAACAACCCAGTGCAAGAAGCTAATGGTAAAAACATGACCTTTTTTTTTTCCTTTCAATCTTGAACTATCTATAAGGTGTCTTGCGGAGTTTGATGTATTTGCTGTCTGGTAATGCAGTTGGGATTGATATAACCACTATAAAGTCACTGCAGTATGATCTCAACTCAATTGAAGCGGCAACAAACAAGTTTGCAGACGGTAATAAACTAGGCGAAGGTGGATTTGGTGTGGTATACAAGGTAATGTTTGTATTCATGTCTATCTAGTCTGGTTATCCATGCCAAGTCAAAAGAATTCAATTCAGCAATCAGATGCATTTGATGTTGGGTCTAGTCACTGTTTTACATTTTCAGGGTAGTTTTCTGAATGGAAAAGAAATAGCTGTGAAGAGGCTATCAAAACGCTCTGGACAAGGTGCAAAGAATTCAAGAATGAAGTTGTAGCACTAGCCGAGCTTCAGCACCGGAATCTAGTGAAGCTGTTAGGATTTTGCACAGAATGAGACGAGAGGATACTTATCTACGAATTTGTTCCCAACAAAAGTCTTGACTTCTTCCTCTTTGGGCTGGCCTTTCTTCACATTTATCTGGATTGAACTGTTCTTTACTTAGTTATGATATGAGTATTATTCATAGCTATTTAGCATTACTGCTTTTGTTCAGTTCTTTCACAACATGTCAACCCAATTGCTAATTGCTGTAAGGTAATATATTCAGATCCTGAGAGAAGTGGAGAACTGGATTGGCCAAGACGCCACAAGATAATTAAGGGGATTGCTCGAGACCTTCTATATCTTCATACTGATTCAAGGGTCAAGATCATACACTGTGATTTGAAAGCTAGTAATATTTTGCTGGATGAGGATATGGTCCTGAAAATTTCAGATTTTGGCATAGCAAAAATTATTGAAGAAAATCAAACACAAGAACCTACGAGGAGAATTGTTGGCACGTAGTAAGTTCTCCATCCCAAAATCTTCATCCTTTCTTGTTTGATGAAGGCTAACTGTAAACTCTTTTTCATTGAACTGCCATCATTCCATATTATAGTGGTTACATATCTCCAGAGTTAGCAATGCATGGAAAGTTCTCTGAGAAATCAGATGTGTTTAGCTTTGGTGTATTGATGCTAGAAATTGTATGCGGTAAAATGAACACAGGCTTCTATAACTCTAATCATTCTGAAAACCTTTTAACCCAGGTAAGTGCTGGCAAAAAATTTTTTTCTCAATGCTAAATGCTCTTACTGTTAGTCAATAAGGAGCATGTTTTATCTTTCCAAATTTCATTATTTATTGCAGGCATGGAAACATTGGAAAGGTGGGACGGTATTGGAATTAATGGATCCAACTTTAAGAGAATCTAATGTGAGTAACGAAGTTACCAGGTGTATTCAGATTGGGTTGCTTTGTGTTCAAGAAAACCCAACTGCAAGACCAACCATGACAAGAGTAGTTTCCATGCTTAGCAGTTCATCTGTTACTCTTCCTGCACTTCAAAAGAATGCATTCTTCTTTGGCAGTATCACAGGACTAAGTAGTGGTAGTGTGGAGCTGGAGCGGGATAGGAATACGGACAAATCAACCTCTTGCTCGGTGAATGATGCATCCATTACTAGAGTATACCCTTGTTAGTATTGGGGCAGCGGTGTCAAAGCTGCAATATTTTGGCAGCAACTGCAATGCAAAATGAGATGCAAATGACGGCTGCACTTATGAGAGCAAGGGACAGCCAAATGACAGCAGAAGAAGGATAGAACTAATGGCAGCGACATTGTTGCATATGGGCTGCCATACATAGTTGCAATTGTGTTAGATTTAGTCAATGTTTCAGGTAGCGAAAAGCATAATGTTAAGTAGAAAATATTGTTTTTGTATTTTATGGTCTCTGTTTATGGCAGCGGATGAATGAAATATTGGAGCTTCATCTCATTCAAAGAGTGAACTCCAGGTGTTTCTCCTCCTCTACTGTTATCTCTCCCCCTTAAAAAATCCATAATAGGTAGTGTACAATTCAATGATTCTTTGAAGTAACGCTTAATATTGAAGCTGTTTCCATAGGTTCTACAATGTTTCTATAATTAGTGAATAGTGTCCCTAGGAGACAAGTCGCTCATAAACTCTATCGAGGTTCTAGATCGGAAATTGAAGCTTCGTTCACTGAATTGAGCTGGTGCGCTTGCAGATGCCTCTGACTCCACAACAGAGAGTGGAACATATGATGGTTTTGAAGGCACTTCAAGCGATACAGAATTGCTACTAAGCATGAGAACAACAGAGGCCATGGTTGGTCTTCTAGCAACATTTTCTTGAACACATAGTAAGCCTAGCTGGATACATCTCATCATTTCGCTCCTTGAGCCATCCCTCAAAATGGAATCTACAAAATTCAGAGTAGTCCCCTGCATCCAGTTTCTCCATGCCTACATGGATTGAAAAATTGTATATTTTATTTAGGAAAAGTCTACACTATTTCTCAAATTCATGCATGATTGTTCAATTAAGAAAACAAGAGAAATGAAGCTATGGTTACTTATCACCTACATAGGTGACAAGAGACTCCCCTTCTTCTCCATTACTGAAATAGATTTTTTGACTGCTGATGATTTCCAAAACTAGCACACCAAAGCTATAAACATCAGACTTTGCTGAAAATTTCCCATTCATCGCATATTCTGGAGCCATATATCCACTGAATGCAATAAGTAGCTAGAGTAAAGATTCATGTATTTTGGACAATACAAAAACTATAACCAGAATGTGATTACTATACTTACAATGTTCCAACAACATTACGTGTATCAACATGTGTTTCATCCCCTAAAAATAACCTTGCCATTCCGAAATCTGAAATTTTAGGATTCATATCTGCATCTAACAAAATGTTGGAAACTTTTAAATCACGATGGATGATTCGATGTCGAGAATCTTCATGAAGGTATAGAATTCCTCTAGCTATTCCTCCTATGATTTTGTATCTTGTGTTCCAATCTAGTTGCAATCGTTTGATTGGATCTACAAATTTACAGAATTAACAGATTTAAATGCATCAGAGAATACTACTACTGCAAACAACATCAGTTACACTCAGTTTTCTAACAAACTTAGTTTCAAGTATGTTCAACCCATGCAACACAAACAAGAACAAATAGAAATTAGCTGAAAAGGATGGCAATTAGCAAACCTACCGAATAAGAAGTGATCAAGGCTTGAGTTAGGAACAAACTCATAGATGAGAAGTCTTTCATTCCCGTCCAAGCAAAAACCTAGGAGCCTAACCAAATTTCTATGTTGAAGTCTTGACATTAACTTGACTTCGTTCCTAAATTCTAGTTCTCCCTGTCCAGAATTTATTGAGAGCCTCTTCACGGCTATATCTTGTCCATCCTGAAGCCTACCCTGAAATTGGAACAATATTTAAATAGAAGAATAACACCAAAACAACTGAGGAATTGATTCAAGAGATACTTTTTATAATAGAAATTTGTTCGGTTCTAGAAAAGATATTACAGTCCATTACAAGGTTTTACTCGTTACCACCCTTTGACAGAATTAAGATTGTTTCTCCAAATTCTACTACGGGTATTAACTTTCAACAGAAGAAAGTTATTTGCACCAATTCGTAATTACCTTATAAACAGCACCAAAACCACCCTGTCCTAGCTTGTTCTTGATTGAGAAGTTATCGGTTGCAACCATTATTGTGGCAAAGTTAAATTGTAGGGACTTGGCACCATTAGCTCCATCACTGTCATCCATGCCTTTTTGGGAAAAATAGAGAAAAGGGTGAATTAGTATATCAACAACAAAATAAAAGGAAATGCATTAGTAATCTTTTGGTCATTTCCCATGTGGCTGTAACTTCATAGTTTGTTCACCAACCAAACGTTTTTGTTTTCCCAAGGCGACAAGAAGATTAATCACAGGATGATTTCTTCTTCTATGTAATTCTTAGCTTATCCAAGGCTATTATAGAACAACAATTACCCTCAATTTCCAGCTTTGGTTTCCGTCTCCTTCGGAGAAGAGCACAAGCGATGGCTACAATTGCTATGGAAGCAATGGTTGAAACAACAAGAGCAATAACAGTTGGAGTAGTAATGTCTTTCTTGTCTGCATAAACTGAAATATTTATATAATTTTTTTCAACAAACTTAAAAATAAATTTCTGAGAAGAACTAGGAATTTTTTGCATCTTTTTCATGTCATGCACAAAGTAACCGCATTCATATTTTGTTCAACATGATATGAAATCCATCACTTCCTCCAAGATATGTACTTACCTTTTGGGGTAGTTGTATTAGTTGAATTTCCAATTGCATCCGGAGGAGAAATGCTAGGTGGAGGTGAAAGATATTCATAAAAGGGATACAAATCCAATCGGAAGAAACAATTGGGTTTCTGAACAAAACCTCCTTGTTTCCCATGGCAGCATGTTTGGTAATCACTTACGGATTGCCTCAGGCACAAATCACAATCCCCTTGAGATAAATCTGGAGTACACTGCATTAAGGCATAAATTGTTTGAAAAGATGTTAACTTTGCCTCTCCTGCGGCAAACTTAAGCCTAGACGTTCCAGCAGAAGCTCTTCTCACTATACCGTCTGCTAAATTCTCCCAAATCTGATCAAATTGTGTCAAATTTGTGGTGAGATTATTCACATTACACCCTGAATCAGTGGGAGACAGCTCAAGGATTCCGAAAAAGGAGCGGTTTGCATAGTGTATTATACAGGGAGGATCCCCTCCCCATGAAATTGCTTCCTTCTGGTTTGGACACTTTGAGATAATAACTGCGATTGTGGAATTGACGCACCTGAAACAAACATCAGATGAAGAATCGGCTCTGCATAGCCCCAAAGTGTAAATCCTGTTAGGTTCTTCTCCAACGAAGGCAGTGTAGAAACCCCCGTTTTCTGGGATTTTAGAGGGGAGAGAAGAGAGGATGAGTTCGCGGTTCCTCCCATACGTGTCATTGGCCGTAAAATTTCCGCTGTCGTAGCACACCACCGGTGTACTAGAAGTGGGAAAACTGATGAAAGTTAGCATGCAAAGACAAAGAAGAAGAAAAACCACATCTTTAATGCCCATTGGAGAGAAATGAAAGCCCACGAACTAATTTTTTTTCTTTCCCAATTCATTGAAACCCCATTACCGAAACTATAGGAAAGGAAAAAAAGGAAGTCTTCTGAATTCTGATACACCAATGGGAAAGAAGAGCATTGACCTGACCGACTCAGATTTAGTTTGAAAACGTTGTTTATAATATTTTTTTATTTATTTATAAAAATTTTCATAATTTATGTATTTAATAAATTATTTACTTTTATTTTTTAAAAAAAGAATATAAAATTAATTTATCTAATATTAATAAAATTTTTAAATCTTTTTCATACATTATATATTAAATTATTAATTAATTTAATCTTAAATAATAATATATTTAATCAAATAATTTTATATTACAGAATTTTTTAAAATATAATTATCAAATATTAAAATATTTTTATAATAATATAATATAATATAATATTTTTAAAAACTATTACTACAAAATAATAAGAAACAGCGTTTTGAAACTATTAATAGAAAATAATAAGGAAAGGGATGTGATTGGTTATTACCGTACCGCACACAAGACTGCCAAGTGTTGACCACACCAACTCACTGCATGTCTTTTTTTAGGCAAAATGGCCTCTTAAGCCCTCAAATTTATCTTAAAATAACATTTAAGCACCTAAACTAAAATTAAAGTTGATAAATCATCTAATCCCACTAATAATGTAAATAAATCCTTTTCACAAATGGGTCAAATAGTATTTCATATTTAATTTCACCTTAAAAACATGAATACCCATAAATACCCATGAATGAAAAGTGTTTATATATATCAAGTGGAGTTAGAGAATTTATTTGCTTCATTAATGAAATTAGAGTGTTTATCCATTTCATTTTTAGTTAGGGGCTTAAATGTTATTTTGGGATAACTTTGGGGGTTTAAGAAGGGTTTTTGCTTTTATTTTAAACAGTAATAATTATAGTGTTTGAAAATATTATTTTATAATATAATTTTTAAAAGATATTATTTTTAGTTTTAATTAAATATATTATTTTATTTAGTCTTTTTAATTGTTTTAATCCTTGCACTCTATGTAAATTAATTTGATAAATTTACATGGTAGTAAATAAATAAAAATTGAAAGCTTTTTTTATCTAAATAAAAATACTCAATAAGAACTAAAAATAAAAAGATAAAAATTTTAAATTATCATATATTTATTATAGAAAATTATTTAATCAAATATGTAAAAATCAAATTAGAACAATTAAATTTCACAAAAAAGAGTAATTGTTATACTCTTTCTACTCAACTTTAATAAATATAGTTTTTTATTTAACAAAATAAAGATATAATGATTAATTAATTAAATTTTATTTTTATTTTTTATTTATCTTTTTAATAGTTTTTAACTTTTATTTTTATTTTAGTATTTAACACTTAACTCTATATATTAGAATTAGAAATCCATCTCAATTTATTTACATTTTTTGTTTCAACCTAATAGTAAGATATAATTTACATTATAATTATTATTCTATTATTAATGTAACTATACTTCCTATAAAAAAAATAAGGATTAAGTTATAAATAGGTGCATGTGTTTTTATGTTAAGTATAAATAAGTGCTGACATCTTAATAGAAAATTAAATTTACCCAAATTAAAAATTAGGTTGCAAAAATGACAGAAGTTAATTCTCGCGCATGGGTTGCCATACGCGGTTGCAATTGTGTTGGATTTAATAGGTAGCAAAAGTCATAATGTTTGGTAGAAAATACTGTCCACTACAAGTAAAAGCACCTTTGCCTACATTTATTTTCTTGTCTTTCCCCAAACGCCAGTCCACTATTTTGTTTTTATTTTCAGCGGCTTTACTTAAATGGCGTTTTGAGAAATACAGGTAAATTCCTGCGTTTTATTAAGTAGACGCAGGGAATTAATGAATGAAAAGGCGTGGTTGATTAGTCAAAGCCCTTACAAATAATGTTACACCCAATATGTCACTCCCAGTTCATTTCTTATGAACAAGGTTTACTGGTATGCCCTGCCTTCGCAAGACTGTAAGGTTTATTGGTATTTCTACCTTTAGGATAACAGAAACTTAGGTGTGCTAATATGCTATGTTTCTCTGGACTTGACTAGTAGTATGAACCCTAAGACTTATCAGCTGATTGGTCCTCTATTTTTAATTCTGGTTCAATTTAAAATTTATTTGTTGGTTTGCTTCTACTGGAGAAGCCTGACAGGTTCTTTCAAAGCTACAAATCTATGATTCTTATTATCTCTTACAATTCTGTAGTGTCTTTTAGTAGGTTCTCCTGATTGGGCATACAATTTGGAGCCTTCAATTATGTTTCCTGGATTTTGTTACGTATATTTTGTTGAATGATTAGTGCTAGTTTCTTATATAACTAGCCAAATCATTTGATATGATATTTTATAAGGGTTATCTAATCTGTATCTTTATAGCATAGATTAAGGTGCAATAAATATATATTTTTATAATTAATTTATATAAAAAATAATAAAAATTTACTTTTATTTTAGTGTTATTATAACGTGAATAGTTTTAATTAATCAATTAAATTCAAATTAATTTTTATCATTTTTTATATACATTAATTACAAAAAAGTGATTTATTGCACCCTTATCTTATGCTATAAAGGTATAGGATAAAAAATCCCTATTTTATATTACATAAAGCCTTTGAGTTGAGTGATTTTTTGTAATTTAAGCTCTATCTTGTTTGCATTTTAGGATCAACAAGGAGTACTAATCTTTTCAAGTCATGCATCTTAAAGTAATGATGGTGCTAGTGGCAGCAACGTAGAGTATTTGAATATGATATTTCAGGGTTGCAATGAGTTTGATTGTTGGTAGCAACAATGGCAGTTTCTATCATTTTCTGCATGTGTTGTCTTTGAATATGGCAACTCAAGTTTGGATACTATTTAGGCAGGCATTATTGTTATGTTTTCTTTGGATATGATAAAATTAAGCATTAATAATATGTTAAGTTTGTGCATATTTTTTATTAATTGATAATATATTTGGTTTGATTAATTATGTTGTAATTTTAAATGATTTTGTCAACAAATAGGTATTGTTTTAATAACCAGAAAATAATGAAAAGCAAAAAAAAAAAAAAAAAAAAATTTCCCGCGTTTAACCAAAAACCCAGGTGAAAACATCAAATATTTGTACACAGTTGGGACAATTATGAAGGGCATCACCTGCATTTTTGAAGTCATTCACCTGCGCTTTTAGAAAATGCAAGGGAAAAGAAATTTATGCCAGCATTTACATAAAACACTGTGATTTATCTGCACCGTCTACACTAACGTTTGTGTGGCATTTTTACAAATGTTGGTAACTTTTTTACTTACATTTTCAAAAATAGGTAAACCCCTTTAACAAACACGATAAATGAGCATTTTTCCTGTCTTGTGTTTTTGTATTTTATGGTCTCTGTTTACGGTAGAGGATGAATGAAATATTGGAGTTTAACCTCGCTCAAAGTGTGAACTCCAGGTGTTTCACCTCCCCTTTAGCGTTATCTCTCCCCCTTAGAAAACCCACAATAGGTAGTGTACAATTCAATGACTCTTTGAAGTAACACTTAATATTGAACTCTGCTTCAATAGGTTCTACATTGTTTCTATAATTGGTCAATAGTGTCCCTAATAAGTGACTAACCTTGTCACTCATAAACTTTATTGAGGTTCTAGATCGGAAATTGAAGCTTTATCCGATGTGAATTGGGTTGGTGCCCTTGCAGATGCCTCTGGCTCCACAACAAAGCGTGAAATATATGCTGGTTTTGAGGGCACTTGAAGAGATACAGAACTACTACTAAGCAATAAGCAAGAGAACAACAGAGAGCATGGTTGGTCTTCTAGCAACATTTTTTTGAACACATAATAGACTTAGCTGCAGTGGTGTAGGCAAGATCGAAGGCTAGAGGGGGTGGATCGGCCTAAAGGAGCACAATTATAAATTACAAAAAAAAAATTTCTTTCGAGTAAAATGGGTTGTTCAACATCCATGGCTTTTTATTGTTAAAATAATCTATAAATTATAGATAAAAACTATTCTAAAAAAAATTTTAAAAAACAAAAATATAATAATGACAAAACATGAATATAGATAAAAAAAAATATTGATAAAAGGGAAAAAGATGAAATTAACTTTACTTCTTTTAAAAAAATATATCTAATTTCTACAACTTAATATGCAAGATAATCAAATTTTAAAATTTTAAAAAATAAAAATAAAAGAATAATAACAAACAAATGGTAAATAGAAACAAGAAAAAAAAAGCTTCATAAACTGATTCAAATAAACAGTAAGTCTAAAGCCTTTTTAAATGCAGAGCAATTTGTGCAAATAAATTAAATTGTAAATTGAAACAAAACAAAACAATTCAAGTACACAAATCTAAATTTGCATTGTTGGGGATTAATATAAAGATAAATATAAAACTTAAACCCAAGATTAAAACATTTATTGATAAAATTAACAAATAATCACAAAATAAGTATAAAACAAGAGAAAAAGATAATTAACATAACTCATAAGTCTAGTGTTATACAAGTCAAAAATGATTAGTAACTGTTAAAAAAGTCCCAATGAAAGAAATTAAAAGTCTATTGTACGTTATAAAAGGTGTTAGAACAATAGAATTATATTTTGAATTGAGAGAAGAAAACAATGTGAGTTTCAACAATAAACTATGATATAATTAACAATTAGGTTTAAATTTGTCCTTTTTTACCTAATAATTGGCATATATACTAAATAGAAAATAGCGTCTAGCTAGGAGACAAGTCACTCATAAACTCTACCGAGGTTCTAGATCGGAAATTGAAGCTTCGTTCACTGTGAATTGAATTGGTGCCCTTGCAGATGCCTCTGGCTCCATAACAAAGAGTGAAACATATGCCTGTTTTGAGGGCACTTTAAGAGATACAGAATTGCTACTAAGCATGAGAACAACATGGGCCATGGTTGGTCCTCTAGCAACATTTTCTTGAACACAAAGTAAGCCTAGCTGGATACATCTCATCATTTCGCTCTTTGGGCCATCCCTCAAAATGCAATCTACAATATTCAAAGTATTCCCCTCCATCCAATTTCTCTATGCCTGTATGGATTGAACAATTGTATATTTTATTTAGGTGAAGTCTACACTATTTCTCAAATTCCTGCATGATTAATGAACTATGAAAACATGAGAAATGCAGCTACGGTTACTTAACACCTACATAGGTGAGAAGAGATTCTCCTTAATTCTTCCCCATTACTGAGATAGATTTTTTGACAGCTGATGATTTCTAAGACTAGTTTGCCAAAACTATAAACATTAGACTTAATTGAAAATTTCCCATTCATCACATATTTTGGAGCCATATATCCTCTATAGATAAAATGAGTAGCTAGAGTAAAGATTCATGTATTTTGAAATAATCTTGCCAAAACTATAATGTGATTACTATACTTACAATGTTCTAACAATATTATGTGCATCAACATGCGTTTCATCCCTTGGAAATAATCTTGCCATTTCAAAATCTAAAATTTTATGATTCATTTATGTACCTAATAGAATGTTGGAAACTTTTAAATCATGATGGATGATTCAATGTTGAGAATCTTCATGAAGGTATAGAATCCCTCTAGCTATTGCTCCTATAATTTTGTATCTTGTGTCCCAATCTAGTTGCAATCGTTTGACTGGATCTCAAATTCACGAAATTAACAGATTTAAATGCGTCAAAGAATACTACTACTGCAAACAACATCAGTTACACTCGATTTTCTAACAAACTTAGTTTCAAGTATGTTCAACACCCATCCACCAAAAACAAAACAAATAGGAATTAATGCTTAAGCTAAAAAGGATGGCAATTAGCAAACCCACTGAATATAAAGTGATCAAGACTTGAGTTAGGAACAAACTCATAGATGAGAAGCTTTTCATATCTGTCCAAGCAAAAATCTAGGAGCCTAATCAAATTTCTATGCTGAATCTTGACGTTAACATGATTTCCTTCTTAAATTCTAGTTCTCCTTGTCCAGAATTTATTGAGAGCCTCTTCACGGTTATATCTTGTCCATCTTGAAGCCTACCCTTAAATTGAAACAATATTTTTGGTTTGAGGGGAATGGAGGGGAGGGGAGGTGAGGGGGGAGAATTTTTGACTAGGGGGACGAATTTTTATTCTTGACTTTAAAACATTATAATTTGATTAGTCAAAAACTCTTTTCAATGTTATGATTTGATTAGTAAAAAATTCATCTCCTCTCCTCCCCTTTATTGTCCTCAATTTAAACATGTAGTTAAAGAAAAGAATAAAAGCAAAACAACTAAGGAATTGATTCAAGAGATGTTTTTTCTAATAGATGGTTGCAGAAAAGATTTTACAAATCCATTATAGCGTATTAGCTAACACACTTAAACAGAATTAAGATTGTTTCTACAAATTCTACTACAGGGCATGAACTTTTAACAAAAGAAAGTTATTTGCACTAACTCGTAATTACCTTATCAACAACACCAAAACCACCCTGTCCTAGCTTGTTCTTGATTGAGAAGTTATCTGTTGCAACAATGATTGTGGCAAAGACCAATCGTAGGGACTTGGCACCATTAACTCCATTACTGTCATTCATGTCTTTTTGGAAAAAGAAAAAAAAGGTGACCTAGTACGTTAACAACAAAATAGAAGAAAATGCATTTGTGATCTTTAGGTTATTTTGTGGCTGTAACTCCAGGTGAAAATTAAGTATTAAACACAAGATTTACATTTAATATAAATTTAATTGATGAAAGACGGAATAGTTTTTTTTTTTTTTTTTGGTATTTAACTAACATGTTTTTAATTTTATTATTTCATCGATGTGAATTTTTTCACTCAATATGTTTTAACTAGGCGACTAGAAGATCGATCACAGGATGACTTTTTGTTCTTCTTCTTTTTATGTAATTCTTAGGGTATCCAAAGCTATTATGGAACAACAATTACCCTCAATTTCTTGCTTTGGTTTCCGTCTCATCCGGAGAAGAGCACAAGCGATGGCAACAATTGCCATGGAAGCAATGGTTGAAAACAAGAATAATGACAGTTGGAGTAGCAATGCTTTTGTTGTCTGCATAAACAGAAATGTTTATGTAATTCCTTTTAACAAACCTAAAAATAAATTTTTGAGAGGAACTAAGAATTTTTTGCTTCTTTTTCTTGTTATACACAACGTAACCACATTCATATTTAGTTCAACATGATATGAAATACATCACTTCCTCCAAGATACGTACTTACCTTTTGGGGTTGTTTTATTAGTTGAATTTACAATTGCATTTGGAGGAGGAATGCCAGGTGGAGTCCGTGGAGATGAAAGATATTCATAGAAGGGAAACAAATCCAAGCAGAAAAAACAATTGGGTTTGTGAACATAACCTCCTTGCTTCCCATTGCAGCATCTTAATTTGGTAATCACTTACGGATTTTCTCAGGCACAATTCAGGCTGTGTCGTTGCCTAAAAGGTTTAGCACCAACGAGGCTAATGTTTCTCGGTTGCAAACCTTGTACAGCCTGGTTCAGTGCACGCCGGACCTTTCAAGTCCGGATTGCAATAGGTGTCTCCGAGAGGTCATAGCAAGTCTCCCCAGTTGTTGCGTGGAAGAGTAAGCGGAAGCGTACTAAATCCTAGTTGTAATGTTAGGTATGCTGTTTACCCGTTCTATAATCTGACTGCAGTTGCAATTGCGGCGCCACCACCACAGGTGGTTACTTCTTCTGGTTCAGTGATCATTCCCAAAGGTAAAGTTAAGCTCATAATTTATTGATTAACTGTTGTTTGCGATGATGATAGATATGTCTGCATAGATAGTTAGCTTATTCTTGCTACAAATTATTCTGACCCAAAAAAAGAAAAAAAAAAATTGCTACAAATTGAAGTATGTTATCTAGCGTGTTCATTCTCCATTAATCAAATTTAGAAAAATTGTGATATTAAATTAATTGTCTTTGGGACCATCCATGACCCTCTTTTTTTCTTTTTTTATTTCAATGCAGGAAAATGTCAAAAATCATGTTGTCCCAGTTGGTGTCACTATCTTGTTTTTCATTGTGGGGTATTGTTTGCTAACAAGGAGAACAAGGAAGAAGAACAACCCAGGGCAAGGAGATAATGGTAAAAACATGACCTTTTTAAATTTTTTCAACCTTGAACCATCTATAACGTGTTTTGCTGAGTTTGATGAATTTGCTGTCTGGCAATGCAGTTGGGACCGATATAACCACTATAAAGTCACTGCAATATGATCTCAACACGATTGAAGTGGCAACAAACAAGTTTGCAGATAGTAAAAAACTAGGTGAAGGTGGATTTGGTGTGGTATACAAGGTAATATTTGTATTCATGTCTCTCTGGTCAGGTTATCCATGCCAAGTCAAAAGAATTCAATTCAGTAATCAGATGCTTTTGGTGTTGGGTCTGGTCACTGTTTTACATTTTCAGGGTAGTTTTCTGAATGGAAAAGACATAGCTGTGAAGAGGCTATCAAAAAGCTCTGGACAAAGTGCAGAAGAATTCAAGAATGAAGTTCTAGACTTCTAGTACTAGCTGAGCTTCAGCAGCGGAATCTAGTGAAGCTATTAGGATTTTGCACAGAACGGAAAAGAAAGGATGCTTATTTATGAATTTGTTCCCAACAAAAGTCTTGACTTCTTCCTCTTTGGTCTGGCCCTGCTTCACATTTATCTGGATTAAACTGTTCTTTACTTAGTAATGGGTATTATTCATAGCTATTTAGCATTACTGCTCTTGTTTAGTTCTTTCACAACTTGTCAATTCAATTGCTAATTGCTGTTAGGTAATATATTCAGATCCTGAGAGAAGTGGAGAACTGGATTGGCCAAGACGTCACAAGATAATTAAGGGGATTGCTTGAGGCCTTCTATATCTTCATATTGATTCAAGGGTCGAGATCATACACCATGATCTGAAAGCTAGTAATATTTTGTTGGATAAGGATATGGTCCCCAAAATTTCAGATTTTGGCATGGTAAGAATTGTTGAAGAAAATCGAACTCAAGAACCTACAAAGAGCATTGTTGGCACATAGTAAGTTCTCCATCCCAAAATCTTTCTCCTTTCTTGTTTGATGAAGGCTAACTATAAACTCTTTTTCATTGAACTGCCATCGTTCCATATTATAGTGGTTACATATCTCCAGAGTTTGCAATGCATGGAAGGTTCTCTGAGAAATCAGATGTGTTTAGCTTTGGTGTATTGATGCTAGAAATTGTATGTGGTAAAATGAACACAGGCTTCTGCAACTCAAATCATTCTGAAAACCTTTTAACCCATGTTAAGTGCTGGCAAAAAATTATTTTTCTCAAAGCTAAATGATGCTCTCCCTGTAAGTTAATAAAGAGCATGTTTTATCTTTCCAAATTTCATGATTTATTGCAGGCATGGAAGCATTGGAAAGGTGGGACAGTATTTATGAATTAATGGATCCAACTTTAAGAGATTCTTATGTGACAAAGTTACCAGGTGTATTCAGATTGGGTTGCTTTGTGTTCAAGAAAACCCAACTGGAAGACCAACCATGACAAGAGTAGTTACCATGCTTAGCAGTTCATCTGTTACTCTTCCTGTGCCTCAAAAGAATCCATTCTTCTTTGGCAGTATCACAGGACTAAGTAGTGGTAGTGTGGAGCTGGAGTGGGATAGGAATATGGACAAATCAACCTCTTGCTCAGTGGACGATGCATCCATTACTAGACTATACCCTCGTTAGTAATGGGGCAATGGTGTCAAAGCTGCAAAACTTTGGCAGCAAAGGCAATTGAAAATGAGATGCAAATGAGGGCTGCACTTATGAGAGCAAGGGACAGCCAAATGACAGCAGAAAAAGGACAGAACTAATGGCAGCGGTATTGTTGCGGGTCGGCTGCCATACATAGTTGCAATTGTGTTAGATTTAGTCAATGTTTTAGGGAGCAAAAGGCATAATGTTAAGTAGAAAATATTGTTTTTGTATTTTATGATCTCTGTTTATGACAGAGGATGAATGAAATATTGGAGCTTCACCTTATTCAAAGAGTGAACTCCAGGTGTTTCTCCTCCTCTCTACTGTTATCCCTCCCCCTTAAAAAACCCATAATAGGTAGTGTACAATTCAATGACACTTTGAAGTAACACGTAAAATTGAAAAACCCATAATAGGTAGTGTACAATTCAATGACACTTTGAAGTAACACGTAAAATTGAAAAACCCATAATAGGTAGTGTACAATTCAATGATTCTTTGAAGTAACACTTAAAATTGAAGCTGTTTCCATAGGTTCTACATTGTTTATATAATTAGTAAATAGTGTCCCTAGGAGACAAGTCACTCGTAAGAAATTCACTGTGAATTGAATTGGTGCCCTTGTAGATGCCTCTGGCTCCACCAGAGAGTGAAACATATGCTGGTTTTGAAGGCACTTTAAGAGATACAGAATTGCTACTATGCCTGAGAACAACAGAGGCCATGGTTGGTCTTCTAGCAGCATTTTCTTGAATACATAAGAAGCCTAGCTGGATACATCTCATCATTTCGCTCCTTGAGCCATCCCTCAAATTGGAATCTACAAAATTCAGAGTCGTCTCCTCCATCCAGTTTCTCCATGCCTGCATGGATTGAACAATTAATTGTATATTTTATTTTGGTAAAGTCTACACCATTTCTCAAATTCTTGCATGATTATTCAATTGAGAAAACATGAGAAATGAAGCTATGGTTACTTCTCACCTACATAGGTGAGAAGAGACTCCCCTTCTTCCCCATTATTGAGATCGATATTTTGACTGCTGATGATTTCCAAAATTAACACGCCAAAGCTATAAACATTAGATTTAACTAAAAATTTCCCATTCATCACATATTCTGGAGTCATGTATTCACTGGAAGTAATGAGTAGCTAGAGTAAAGATTCACATATTTTGGACAACACAGAAACTATAACTATAATGTGATTACTATACTTACAATGTTCCAACAGTATTATGTGTATCAGCATGCGTTTCATCCCTTAAAAATAACCTTATTATTCTGAAATCTGAAATTTTGGGATTCATTTCTACATCTAATAGATTATTGGAAATTTTTAAGCCATGATAGATGATTCGATGTCGAGAATCTTCATGAATGTATAGAATCCCTTTAGCTATCCCTCCTATGATTTTGTATCTTGTGACCCAATCTAGTTGCAATCCTTTGACTAGATCTACAAATTCACAAATTTAACAGATTTAAATGCATTAGAGAATACTACTACTGCAAACAACATCAGTTACACTCAGTTTTCTAACAAACTTGGTTTCAAGTATGTTCAACCCATGCACCACAAAAAAAAAACATATAGGAATTAATTCTTAAGCTGAAAAGGATGGCAATTAGCAAACCCACCGAATAGGAAGTGATCTAGGCTTGAGTTAGGAACAAACTCATAGATGAGAAGCTATTCATTTCGGTACAAGCAAAAACCTAGAAGCCTAATCAAATTCCTATGTTGAAGTCTTGACATTAACATGACTTCGTTCATAAATTCTAGTTCTCCTTGTCCAGAATTTTTTGAGAGCCTCTTCGCAGCTATATCTTGTCCATCCTGAAGCCTGCTCTGAAATTGTTGGAACAATGTTTAAAGAAAAGGATAAGACCAAAACAACTAAGGAATTGATTCAAGAGAAACTTTTTATAGTAGAAATTTGTTAGGTTCTAGAAAAGATTTTACAAATACATTACGGAGTATTAACCGTTAACACATTTTGACAGAATTAAAGCATGTTTGGTGAAACTTGTAAGTGTTTCAGTTTTTTGAGACTATTCATATTTCATAAATTTAAATTTTCCTCTTAAAAGCTTATATTTTTTAATTTCTTTTTAACTTTAAAAAAGACCTTAAACAGTTAATTTTGAAAAACTTCAAACTTTTGTTTTTTTATAAATTTCTCTTTTACTCACTTCTTATTATTTCTAAAAATAATTTTTAAATTTTTTCTTCAATAAAAATTTAAATTTATGACTCATAAACATTATTAAAAAAGTAAATGTTTAAAGAAACTCTACCAAAGAGGCCCTTATTGTTTCTACAAATTCTACTACAGGGTATTAACTTTCAAAAAAAAGAAAAGAAAGTTATTTGCACTAACTCGTAATGACCTTATAAACAGCACCAAAACCACCCTGTCCTAGCTTGTTCTTTTTTGATGAATCAAAAAATTTTATTATGGTGAGAAGTACAAGAGGTACTCAACTCACAGTTTTCAGGAGACATTACAAGATAACATCAAAGAGGACATTCAAGAATCAAACCTGAATGTCCTAGCTTGTTCTTGATTGAGAAGTTATCGGTTGCAGCCATCATTGACTCATAAACATTATTAAAAAAAAGTAAAAGTTTCAAAAAAACTCCACCAAAGAGGTCCTTATTGTTTCTACAAATTCTACTACAGGGTATTAACTTTCAAAAAAAGAAAAGAAAGTTATTTGCACTAACTCGTAATGACCTTATAAACAGCACCAAAACCACCCTGTCCTAGCTTGTTCTTGATTGAGAAGTTATCGGTTGCAGCCATTATTGTGGCAAAGTCAAATTGTAGGGACTTGACACCATTAGCTTCATTACTGTCATCCATGTTTTTTGGGAAAAATAGAAAAAAGGGTGAATTAGTACATCAACAACCAAATAAAAGGAAACATTTATAATCCTTTAATTAAAGAAATTCTATTTGTTAGTGTCCAATAAATTTAGTGAAAAAGATTTTGGTATGACAGGTAATTATTTGACACCATAGTGTGGTATCGAATAATAGTCATATCAAATGCTTAGTTAGAAATTTAGAATGTGATATTTTTTATGAATTAAGTTTTGACACCACAGTACGGTGTTTTTGACACTACTTGAGTGCAATATCAAATATGTGGTGCTAAAAAACTATTTTTTTAGTAGTGAGACCTTTTTCATTGTGTTTAGATTAGGGGATTTGGAAAGAAAGGGGAGGAGAGTGAGTGGGGAAAGATATCTTCCTCCCCTTATTTGGATTTCTTTATTAACGAGGGAGAGGAAGAGGAAGATGGAGGGGTGATGGAGTCTCCTCCAGTACTTTGTTTTCCATCTTTTAATTTGGAGGATGTTTTCAATCTTTTAATTTGGAGGAATGGTAAGGAATTACGTTTACATATTTAGCTTTTTTTTTTAAATAACTATATTTCTGTCCTCAATTTAAAG